TAAATATCTATAGTCTGAGTCTCATTCTTGTAAAATATTTGTAATTATTGGTCTTATAGACCAGAGAAACTCCTAGTGGATTCTCAATACAAATTATTAAATAAAGATAAAAGCAAAACCTCACCTTAAAAAAAAAATATATATATATTTTTATTTAATATCTTTAATATATGAAGAATGTTAGTAAAAATTAGACAAATTGTTTCTAAATAAATTTCTTTTATCAAATTTAAAAATAGAATACAATTTAGACCAAGATTAGAGTTAGATATAAAGATTCAAATCTTTGTTAGGATTAGATTTTTAAAGATCTTGAATATTTTTACTTAGTATCTTCAACATATAGAAAATGTTAATAGAAATTAGACAAATTGTTTCTAAGTAAATTTTTTGCTAACTTTAAATTAAAATACCTTAACAACTATTAAACTAAATTTAATAAAATTTTTTTTATTTTAATTCTATATAGTTATAGAATTAAAATAAAAAAAATTTATCAAGTTTGTTGAGATATTTTAATTTAAAATTTTAAAAAAACTTACTAAAAACAATTTGCCTGGTTTTTACTGACAACCCCATGTGTTAGCTAGTAGGTTTTTGAGATATAGTATCCTCAACAATATTACTACTAGTAATAAATAGCAATATTCTTTAACTAATTAATATAATAAAAATAAATAATCTAAAAGATTAATTAAGAATTAAAAGACAAATAAAAAATTTACAAATAAATTAAATATAACAATTAGTAAATAATTATAAATATAATAAACTCTTAAATAGATAATAATTAAAATTATATATACTATATAATTAATTGTATTTTTGTCAAGATATAATGCTGTTAAAAAAGTTTTTGAAACATCTTTAACTATAAAACCAAAACTAAAAAAGCTAATTTTTTATTCAAAAAAATATAAATATTGTTATATAGTGCATTGTGTATTTGGTGCACCTCTTTATATCTCAAAATTTTATTAAGATAACTCTTTTGAGTAACTAATAAAACTATTTATTATACAATTTTAAGCCTAACCCAACCAAAACCCTAACTCTAATGTTAATAATAACATATTTAAATTATTTGCTCATATCGCAAAATTTTACTAGAATAACCCTATTGTGTAACCAATAAAAAATATTTCTTATACAATTTTACTAATAAGACAACCTTTAATTCTAATCTTACACTTATTAAATTTATACAAAGAGGGTACATCAAATGCACTGGTGCACCGTTTAACATTTTCCAAAAAATATTATTAATAAAACTATATTTGGGATTTTAATAAAACATTTTCTAAATAAACCTATATCTTGTTTTAGTTTTAATTTTAACCTTACCCTAAATATTAAAAGCTTTTTAATTGTAAATCATCAGTGATGATACGTATGAAGTATTCTTTTAAAACTCTGCAAAATTTATTATTTGATTTTTTTTCTTAGCATCTAGTTTATATATCTATAATTTAAAATATATAGTTATTTAACTATATACTAATTAAAATTAGTTATATTCAAAATTTTAAAAATTTTATTATAACTTCCATGCAGATTTTACGGTAGCGTATATCTGTATTTTTCAATTATATGATGGCGTTTCTGGAAGTTTTCCGAGGGGTCATCTATACTATATTTGATCCTTATTGATTAATAAAATTATCAAATGATCAAATACTTTTGACGAAAGAGATATATGAGTATATTTACCATTTCCAAAATTAAATTAGTGGCCTTAGCAATCGAGAAAATCAGCAGCCATAAGCAGCTCCAAAGCAATGGTAGGATCAATATTGAATTGTGGTATTTCACTTGTGGAATTATTGTAACGAACTTTATAGTACAAATATTGGCAAACTTTCTCTAATATCACAGCTCTAAAAATGGACTAAGGTCATTTGAAATATCAAAGATTGTTACATTGCGTAGACAATTAACGGGTTGAAACCCATACTTAATATCCCGAAAATGAATCGTATTTTGTTCTGATTCCATAAATTGACCTGTATTAAATAGATCAGTAAAGTTAATTATGTAAAAGTCTTGCTTATAAGTTTACTTTTTGATAAAAAAAAAAAAATTCTTACCAGGACTTGATAACATATTTTTTATCGTTCCGGAAATGAGGGCTGCATTTCTTTGGATGATAAACTCGAATCCGTCTGAACTAATAAGCTTTACATATTCTGAAGTTGAGTTTCTTGACATTGTTATTTTCTGATAAACGTTTAAACATCAGTAACAATAATATAATATAAGGGAATATCCAATCAACACACAAACAATTTGTAACCAATCACCTTAATTGCTAAGGGATCATGAATATTGTATAAAGAATTGAAGCCGAAACGAAAACTGTAACCAAGAACGATTCAACCTGGCTATTAAGTGTTTCTATCATGAAAAAGTTATTATTTATAATAATGTTTTTGTAGTAAGTAGTTCTTTACGTATATGCTCTGTTCTGATTTCCGATTCAATTCAAGAAAAAAAAGCCAACATTTTTGGTTTCTAAAGCCTCATACTTCAGATCTTGATGGTGGACATAACGTCAGGGACTAACATTAATGCTCATGACTACAAACATATACCACCGCAAACGAAGTCAGTAGAATCGCCAATACAGGAGCCAAATTCTTCGGTTCCCGAAGATTGTGAGTTGACTGGAGAATGCACCTGTGTCATCGGAGAATGCGAACCTTGTACTGCATTAGAATTGGTAAATATATTCACTGGTATTTGATTAACAATTTGGTAATATTCACACAATTTTTTTTGTTTGGATCATTAATAGACATCAGGAGTTTCTTATTGTGGAGTGAATGGTTTGCCTGGAAACAAAGAGGAGATTAAGTGCGAATGGAATGATACATCAAAAAATGGTAGTTTGCCTCAAGGTCCTCAATATCGGCCATGTCGACGAGTTAAAAGATTTGAAAAAGCAAAATACATTGAATTTCAGGTTTGAATACTTTGATATGTAAGTTATGATGATGCATATACATCTTTGGCTAATAATTTATTCTTTACATTTATAGTTTGTTAATATATTCATTGCATGTATATCTTGTGCTATTCTGTATTATCGGAGGCAAAAACTCACTGCGGATGGTTATAGAAGGTTGGCCAGACGTATCAATGGTAACATATAGATTTTACAGATGAAAATTTTGATATCATTTATTAGAATGCACTTGATATATCTACAATTAAACATTCATAATATGCACGACTTTGATTATTAACAAAGAAATTAATAAGAGCTGAAAAATAGACACAAAAAATAGTCCCAAGTTCACGGTTTATGAATTAGCGTTGTTAATAGAATATATTAACAGCTCTCTTACGAGAGATTTTGTGATGGAAATGTTACGGCTCATCTACTGTAGTTAAACGAGTAGAATTATAAAATTATATTCAGATAACTCATAGTTATTACATTATTTAGTTTTTACAATGTAAATAGAATTTACAATAAATGTTAACTGTAAATTTCGTATATCAGATGTAATATTCTACATTACAATTATAACTTTTTCCTGATAATTGATCTAAAAGTCTGTTAGTTATTACCTCCAAGCTAATACGATAGTATATCAAATAATACTGTTGACTCTATACCGAACTAAATTAATTTAGAGTGGTGAAATTGGTGTTAAATTAGTGAAATTAATTTCACCAGCATCTCTACTTAAGAAAATGAAAAACTGTTCAGTTCAAAAAAGTGTACTTAGCATCTAAACATATACGTACCAATTTTTTAATACATTATCGACACCCTTATTTATACTTGTTCTTAAGTCGTTTTATAAGGGTCACTTGCTTGGTACCAAGCATCAGAATAAATTCAACAAATACCGATATGTATCCATGAGTTTTGAGTTAATATTAAACTAGGAAACGAAAACCGTTGATAGTCCGAGCAATCAACTGCAAAAAATTATATAAAATTTAACACTATAGGCCATTACAGCTAGGTTCAAACGGGCCGGCATGGCCTGCGGAGCGATCGTCGAATCTAACTTATGACTGAGTAAATTTGCTTTTTGTAAAAAGGAACCAGGGTATCAAGTAATTTCTTTTAGTAGATTTTTTAGATCTATCGAATGAAGGGTATAAAAATAAGCAAGCTTCCACCCGTAAGATAAGTTAGCAATAACGTTATTTTTGCTCATATATTTTTTTACTTGATTTACTTTCCCGTAATTTATTTTTAAAGTAATTTACTCGGAGACTATGAAAACGAATTTTTACTTACTATGATTTTTGTATTTAGTTACGAAAAATGAGCACTAACGATAAATGATACTGCCACCCCCAAGACTAACGATATTTACCATAACCAATGACACCACCACCCCCAGGACTAATAATAGTAACACTCCCAGGACCGTTTATCCTGTTACCTCAACGCAGAAATAGAAGAGACTAAAAAAAAATATATATTTTACATTCTTATTTAGATGATCTGGACTACGATCCTGAAGATGATGATAATTTTCTTGAACACGATCCTCTTTATTATGTTTGTTTAGATGATGATTTTAGTCGTTTAAGAATAAAAGTTGCACAAAACATTGTAGATCAAAGTTAATAAAGAAGGGGGTCTGGTGGGCTCACAATTTTTTATTTTAACGCGATTGTGTGACTTGATAGAAACTTGCAGTTGCTAATATACTTAGTTAATTCCTTTTTGATCTATGCTTTCACATTTACTATGGGATTCTATAAAAATTTCTCTTACTACAATAGTTTCTTCACCATAATTAAAAATCAAATTATACCCGTTAACTGGATCTTTAATATTAACAATTTAAAAATATTAGAATTATTATTTTTCAAAGCTGTATAAAAGTATTGCAATTTATTCATCTTTGGTAATTCTATATAATCACCATTACCCCGTTAACCTCTTGACATTATTGTTTTTACTAATTTTCTCCCAGGTTTCTGATTGGCTAGAATTGTTTACATGTCATCTTCTTTTTAAAATATGACGCCTTGGCTAGGGTTAGTAATAGAGTTGGTAGGTGCCTTTATACTAAAATTTTGCAAGAAATTTTTTTTATTAGTACACAAAAGATGGATTCTTAGCCGAAATTTTGAGATTAACGTGATTTTTCAAAAATCAAGTGATTGTTTTTAATTTTCATGTTACACCTGCTCCTGCCCTCTGATTGGTCAGAATTGTGAAACCTGGGTAAATTAGTGAATGCAACATTATCATTATGCTCATTAGGGTGACTTTTTACACTACTCTATGACCAACCATTTTTCGATTTCTTTTTTTAGAAGATCTGCATAAATTAGCTAATCATATTCGAAGCAAAAAACTAAAAAATACAAGAAACGAGTGTCTAAACCTATTTTTAATCACCAATAATACTTGCCATATCCTTAACCTCGAACTAACTCTGACTTTAATTTTAATTTCTGCATTTGATACACTTTTCAAAAAAGAAAATTGAAAAATGGGTTGGTAATATCGGTCATAATTAAATGGTTTTTAATTTTGGCCCAATTCCAAAAATGCGCCCGAATATCATTATATACTGGGCATATTTTTCACAAATCATGATAAGTCCAATACAAAACTAATATAATCTATCTAAATACTTATGCAATTATCAGTTCATATTCTCAGTAATAGATTTGTTGTATAACATTCAATTTATATATAAAAATGTTAGAAGAAATTCGAATTTTATGATTTTATATATTTATCAAGTTTATAAAGAGGTGAATAATCTAATTGATTTGTGTTGCTTATCCATATTGAGTTTCTGGAGAGATTTCATCTCGGACCCAATAGTATAATATGCCTAATATGTGATTATATCGATATTTATAATAGTAAGTTTCTACACTTGTATAATAAATGCCATTATCTAAATGATAAAATGTTCATCTTAATCTA